AAAATATGATTTTTGGGGGATTTTGTCCTCTCGTGAGTATGGCATTGTTCTCTGTCCTGGTTTGGACATGGTTGTCAACTATTTTATTGTTAAAACGTACTCCATCATTTTTGAATATGTATCCGCTATGACTCTGTCTCAGAGAAATTTTATTTACTTGTACGAGATAACGTTAAAGTAATAATTTCGGCCGATATGTTGCAATCGCAGGGGAAGAATATGCAACAAAGATTCGCTTAATACTTGAGAATGCGGCGGGTTGCGTTGAGCTTCTGGTTAAGAGTGCGAGAGTCAGAATAAATATCAAATTATCATTATCAAAGCGCGTCTATGTACGACAGACATACACACATTCCCATTTTACACAGCATATATTCTTCCCGCAAGTGCAAGCAATATGTTGACAAACGTTTATCTCAATCGGATGAACGGTATGGCAGTTCGTAAAATACCAATAAACTAATTTTATATCTATACTAATATATAAAGTCACAAGTGTGTTGATTTACAGTATGATAATGTATGAATCTACAGAACCAATACCAAAGAAACGTTTCTGATAGCTTCCTTTAAAGACCTGACGTACTTTAGGCTATGATTTATAAACATAAACCTTAATATTTTTACAAAATAAATACCTTTCTAGATATTTTCGCCTGGCTTTACATCACAGATTCAAGATTTCATCAATGACAATAGTTTAACTGCACGCTACCAGAGGAATACGTCGAAGACTTACTATTGATTTCATCATTGCAGATAGAAGTAGGCTCTTCTATAGGGCGGGAATGAATGGAACTCCTTTTTCTGTTTAATAAAACAGAATTATGATAAATACCCTAGCAACGAGGGGTTCTTCAGCTAGTATTAGATAATTCATGACTAAATTTTAAAATATTGAACTTTAAGTTTGGTTAATCTAATTTATTTTTTACATCAAAGAGTTCAGGCGCTCGGTGAACGCGATCAGTGGCACTCCGGCCCTGCTGTTTGCGGCGGTCGTCAAAAAAATAAAGACACTTGCAGTGGGAAGGCAATTTTTCCAAATGGTTTGTGAGATAAATCTGGAAAGATTAGCGGGAATGGAGGGATTTATAGAAAGTGAAATCCATTAAATATTACATCAGTGAATTCATTAATATTTATATTATTATTAGGCAGTTTCCCAATTTCCAATTACGTTTCATTCAAATATGTTCTCAGTATTTTAATGCTTGTTGTATTATTTACAAAGGTATGCAAATGTTCAATAACAAAAAAATATTGTTTTTAATTTTAAAACGGTATTCAAATATTCTATAAATATTTCATCTAATTTTAAACGAAGTTCTTTTTATTGGACTTGACGTTGGGGTGATAAATAAATGTATCGATACTCTCTAGGGGGCAATTTTAAAAGATACGAGTTGTTTTGCAGGGTGAGGGCTTTATATATACCTCAATTTTGCAAACGAATGTTATCAATAGTCCCTATGAGACCAGTATCTGATCAACAATATCATAAACAGTGATTAAACTATCGTCCATCATTATACTTCGGATGTTTACATTCTTAATACTACCCATTTTTGGGCGTAAAATTGGCCATTAAAAGGGGAAATACTACGTAAATTCTTAAATAGGTGAAAGAAATTGACAACCTTACGCGTAATTTTTGTTTAATCTTCAAACTAAATAATTAAGAATATTGAAAAGTTTTGCAAGATATAGAATATAAAGATGTAAATGTTAAACATATGTCTTTTTGCATTCAGATTGATTTGATACACAAAAGCCTCATGTATATACTTCAAAACAAGGCTACAAAATAATTGAACTTACAATGAAATTGTATGTTCAGAAAAGGGATAGTTTCTGAAAGATCCACTAAATAGTGAATCGGCGGTATTTTGGCACAATTAATACTATAAAACAATTCGCCTCGCATGATCGCGCGAACATCCAGTGTACAGTCACTATTGTCCCTTTTACAACGAAAAGGTGGGAGGGAGGCTATTTATAAAATATTAACATCGCAATATTTTTTCG